CAAATGAAAATCTCAAGAATTGAAAAAATATTTGAAATTTAAAAAAATTGGATGGAACTCGTAACAGGTTTAACACAACTCAGTAATAAAACGACAATGAAAAGTAGCAAAAGACATTAACAGACACTTCCAAAAAGAATATATGAATGTCCAATAAGCACTTGGCAAGATACTTAACATCATTAATTATAAGGGAAATGCAATTAGAAATCATGAGATACCCCTTTATATCCATTGTAACTGCTAAAATTAAAAAAGCTTACAAGACCCAAGTACTGCCAAAATTTGAACTCTTATATATTGATGGGGGTATATATAAGTTGGTATATCACTTGGGAAAACTGTATGTTAGTTCTTTATAAAATACAACATATACTGACTCAGTAATTTTACTAATACATATTTGTTTGATGGACAAAAAAATATAACCACAAAGGACTTTTACAAAAATGAAGATTTATTTGTAGTAGATAAAAAGTATAAATACTCCAATGTCCATTTACAGATTGTTATTGGACAAACCCCTGAATCAGAGTGAGGGGGTACCTGCTCTCCTCCTTGGCTCTTGTCAATCTCATAAGAAAGATTTCAGATGAGTGACAGATAGCAGCATTGAAGAAAAGCAAGCAAATTTATTAAGAGAGTAAAGCAAGTAAATGTACAGCACAAGTGGGTGTAATCTGAGTACCCCGCCTGGTGGAGGATTAGGGGTTTATACTTTTCCACCTACAGGTTTCAAGGTTCCTCTGTAGGATACTTTGGCCAACGGACTAGATTTCAAGGTCACCCTTTTACTTTGTTGTGGCTTTTCCCAGAATTTATGAGAACTGCTGACTTCCCAAGACTGCTGACTTCTTTGTTCAGTGGGTGTGATAACTCTTCTTTTTTCCTCTTCCCCTCCTCCCGCCTTTGCAGTTCCAAGGTGATTTAAGCTATGTATGAACCATTTTCTCTCAAGTGTCCTTGATTGGGGAGATAAGGTCTTGCGTTTCACAAGCTAGCTACAAGTTGGCCTTGATTAATTTTCTTGTCTCAGCTTCCCTATTCCACTTGCCCAGGAATTTTCCTAACTTCTTACTATCCTGACATACAGATACAGAAATTATGGTATATTCAACAATGGAATATTACTCAAGAAGAAAAAGGAATGACGTACTAATCCATGCAACAACACAGATGAATCTAAAAAAATTTGCTAAGTGAAAGAAGTGATCACCTCCTTCCCCCTCTCTTATATGAAGGTTGAAGTTATGTACCAGGCAAAACTTAGCTATGGTGAATGAAATTAGAACATAGGGTCTCTCTGGGTGCTAAGAAGGGAAATTGGGTGGAAAGGACAGAAGATAGCTTTTTGGGTTGATGGAAACATTTTGTGTCTTTATTGACATCATGGTTACTTGAGTTTATAATTTTGTTAAAACTCATCAAAACTGGAAAACCCGTGCGTATGATTGTTTGTAAATTATAACTCATTAATAGAATTGACGTGAATTAAAAATTAATGTAATGTAGTGGTTCAATATGCCACATGCAGGAATTGAGGTAAGACTGTCTGATTCAATTCCTGAAGGCAGTGAATTATAATGTTAAAAGCATGATTGCTATATCAAATAAACCTGAAGTTTTGAATCACATTGCCAATATTTTGTGAATGTAGGCAAGTTACTAACCTCTGCTAAATTCCTATAAAATGAAGGTAATAAAGTTAGTATCTACCTTAAAGTTGTCCTCATTATAATGCCTGGCACATAGATGAACTCAATACATTTAAGTTATAGTCATTATTATTAAATAGCTCTTTAGCTAGGCTTTCAGCAGAAAGGAATGCTGGTATAACCTTGAAGATTTCGAGAATTAGATATCTACAAAACTGCATTAGGCTACAATCTAAATAATGTAGACAATATGTGACAGCATATGATTAAGTACACGAGCGAATCCCATTTTAGTTATCCATTTAAAATTGAGTAACTCATTATCTCTTTGCTAAGAAAATATGTTCACTTTAAAATGCTTGAAGTAGTTGGCTTAGTGTTAGTAAGCATCGACTTATTATTAACCAGGAGGTCACAGTTCGATTCCTGGTCAGGGCACATGCCCAAGTTGTGGGCTTGATCCCCAGTGGGGGATGTGCAGGAGGCAGCCAATCAATGATCTCTCTCATCACTGATGGTTGTATCTCTCACTCCCTCTCTTTTCCTCTCTGAAATCAATAAAAATATATTTTTAAAAAATAAAATACTTGAAGTACTTATTAGGGTCATTTTTTTCCCTTAACAGTCTCACCTTCTGTTTTCTATCTCATAATCACTTTTTACATTTTGGCATATATTTTTCCAAAACCCTATATGTATATGTATATAAATCGTGTATGTATATAAGTGTGTGTATAACTTTATAAATGAAAATGTGACTATACTATATATACTCTTGTAAATGGCATTTCACTTAGAAATATTTTCATGTTTATAAATATTTACACATAGAGTTGGCCTGTTATTTTAAACTAGAGGCCTGGTGCATGAAAATTCATGCACTGAAGCGGGGGAGCCCTCAGGATGGCCTGTCCCCTCTCACTGTCTGGGAGCCCTCAGGGGTGGGAGGTGACCTGGCAATCAGGGGAAGGCGACGCCCCATCACACCTCTGCTGCTGCCACTGCTGGCAGTGCAAGCCTTGTCCAGCCCTGGTTACCTGAGCCTCGGGTGGCCCTGGGCAGCTGGGCAGCTGCTCTCTGAGGCTTGCCTGCACCTCGAGCCAGCCCTGGGCCGCTGGGGGGCTAAGGATGGGTTGGCCACACTGCACGCCTGCCACCCCCCCTGGCGGGGCTGAGGGGACTGGACGCCACCATCTTAGTGATGGTGTGATGGTCAATTTGCATAGTCCCTCTTTATTAGATAGGATAGCTGTATAAAAGTTCATTGCATTGATAAGTCTTTTGATTTATTTAACCACCTCCTTAACTGAGTAATTTACAGTTTTCACTACATGAACAACTTTAGCCTATCTCTTACTTACATCATGTGCAATTCTGTCATTTCATAGAATATATTTTAAAAGGTAAAATTGCTATAAGAAAGAGTTTGAACAAAATACATCAAAATTTATTTTATGAGAGGAAATTATGTGTGTGAGTATGTGTGTGCATAAACAGTGAAAACATGAAGAGCAGAATTCTGAGTTGTCTGGGTGGTAATTGGTGGTTTTCATATTCTGCTTGCTTCTTTATATTCCTCAGTTTTAAACAAGGAAAAAAGTTATTTTAATATTTACAAAAAATTTTCACTTAAGGAGTTTAAGATATTAACTACCATAGTGGGGAACATGCACTGTACACACTAAGCCCAGTATTATTCACATTCCACCCATGGCCATGGGAAGCAATGTCTTTATGGGCACTGATTTCTAAGAAAACTGGAGCTTGAGCATCACATGTCTGATTAAGAGTCTGGATCTTCAACCAAAGGACTTGCATGCATGCATATAAGCCTAACTAATGGACACAGACAACAGGGGGGTGAAGGCATGAGTTGGGGAGGTCGGGGGGGGGGGGTTATGGTGGGATAAGGACACATATGTAATACCTTAATCAATAAAGAAATTTAAAAAAAAGAGTCTGGATCTTAGTATAGGTTTTCTGAAACACTGTGGTTTAGAGTAGTGTGGAGTGATGCCATTTTTTTTGTGAGTGTCTTTGAGGCCCAGGTTCATTCTCAAACTTCAGAGATATGCAAGTAGTGGTGTAGGAAAGCCTGGAGGAGCCTATTTCCCTAGGAGACTTATTCAGCCAGAAGTGATGTCTTCAAGGCAGTCAGTGGTTGCAAAGCCACTGGGACATTCAAAAAGTTTTATGTCCCTCAATGACAATCTCTTGTCAAATATCCAGCTTCCTTTCAAAATAATGACAATAATGATAATAAAGCCATGATCAATTATGTGGTGTTGTGAACTGTGGAGAGAGGGGGACAGTCTTCAGACCCCTAATATCCTGATATATTTTCACATCTGTACAATCTTGTGTTTCCTTTCTGTCCAAGGACCCCATTCAAAAACAACTAAGAACCCAAGTTCTCAATGTCCTGACTTATGTGCCTGTGGTCTTATAGCTCTCCTCCACCTGTGCATTCACTCCCAATCCAGCCATGCAGTTTTCATTTCTAAAAGTATACAATTTGTGTTTTGAAAAGGTGACTCTTACTGGGGTGGGGGGGACAGATATGATGGGGAGCAGGATGGGAGGCCAGAAAGCAATGAGACCTGCAGTTGGGGAGCCTGCTCATTTAGCAGAGCAGGAGCAGTGGCAACCAAGTTCTGTTTCAGTCCCTGTCCAGTCAGGGTGGTTCTATGGGTGTTTATCACAACCTAAGCTACCCTTGCCCATCACTTTTTAGTGCCTTGTTGGACACCCCACAGCAGCGCAGTCATGGCTGTGTCATACTGTTGTGGGGGTGAAGTGGGGAGGAGGAACACAGAGGTCTGATTCTTGCTTTGCTTAGTTTTAACTCTACTGTCTTGGTTTTGAGGTGTGTACAAATGTTCTAGAATGCTTTCCTCACTTTCTTCTTGGCTGTTTTTTGTCTGTGTTTTGAAGGCAATGCTTACCAGCTCAGAAACAGAAGTGTTAGTATTTCTTCCCAACCTTGTGTTTAGTGACATGGACTTGATAGTTTGAAATGGACATGAGAATAATTACACCATGAAATTGCAAAATGCTTCAAATAATGGACTCCCCCCCGCCTCAAGAAGATATATTTTTTAACGTTTAGTAGCATAGTACTTCTAAAAATCCTTCTCACGCCCTATACTCTTTACCCCCGCACACACACGTAGGGTGGGGAAGGGGAGAACATAGTGTTTGAGGGATTGGACACCATAGTTTTCTTCTGTGGGCTAAGGTGATTTCCAATAGGAGCAAACTGAGTTACTTTTCTCTTCCTATATCAAATTTTTCACTTATTTCCAAAAGGCCAACAATGAGCTAACTTTCTTCTCTCTCCCCCAGTGGATGGCTGCATTCACAGAGCGGCTGGCCCTTGTTTGCTGGCTGAATGTCGCACCCTGAACGGCTGTGATACTGGGCATGCGAAAATCACATGCGGCTATGACCTGCCTGCAAAATGTGAGTACAACTCTTTTGAACACTGTTTCAGAATCTGAGGAGCATTCTTGCCTCGCTTTATTTCTCAGGTGTGTAACTCGGGAAGGAAATGGCAGTGGCGGTATTTAATTAAATGTGCTTATATTAACGTTTGGTACCTGGTAATAAAATGTGTTTTCCAAATATCTAAGGGAATGTCGTTTAACTATAGGTGTTTTCTGTTCAGACCTTCGACAGACGGTCTCTGAAATAGAGAAATAAAAATATGAGCAAAAAATATATTATAGTATTTAAGTGCCATTGAGTAACAGTTTCTGGAAACGATGCCAATTTCTTATTCCTTGTTCAGGTTTCTTGATTGTGGATGTGTTCAGAGCAAAGGAGATCAAAGTGATGTATTGTGTTTTCAGCTGCCATGTAAAGGCTGATTGGCAATTATAGCCAAGGCACCTGTCACACTTCCCTTTCTGGGAAAAGCCAGTGGAATGCGGTTGTCAGTGTGAGAATGTATTTGCGCTTTGAATGTGGAATGGTCAAAATTTCCATTATATTTGAATAGAGAGAAGTATTGCATTTGATTGACCTTGTTGGTTAGTCATTTAGCCAACTGAGTAGGGTGGTGTGGAATGAGACCAGTGAGAAGGAAACTGGCTAGAGGCACACGCTCTTTTTTTAATCACATTGTCTTCAGGGCCTGGGGCTCGAGGTAGAGAGTTTCATTGCACAGTTAAGGATGCGCATTGATCCAAAATTGAGGCACTGATTAATTTTTTATTCCATGTACCTGCTTCTTATGATATTGCCTGGATCTTGGAGTACATTTTATGTGAAAGTAAACACATGATACAGTGTGCAGATTATGTGATGTAGAATTGTGCACCAGAAACCTATATAATTCTGTTAACCAGTGTCACCCTAATAAATTCAATAAAAAAGGAAAAGTATGACATGGATTTAAAAAAAAAATGTAAAGCTGGTTTTCATTTTTGTTTTAGCACTGGAGAAAACGTGACTAAAAAATTACAATCTGTAGGAGACTCTTTTTTCTTGTACAGACAGGTTGTATAAGAATGGATTTCCCGTGGATCTGTGCGAGGAGAGAGAAAGTGTTACAATGCAAAGATTACTTGAAAATAGGTTTAAATTTGAGGATTTTTAGTAAACAGTAATATACTAAAAGGGTATTTTTCTTTATAAATGTTATAATACTACAGTCTATGTTCCTCACAGTGGGTTGCTAGTGAAAGTATATCAACTGTATACTGTTTAATTTTCCCTTTCATGACTTCTCATTTTTCTTTCTTTGTTACTGTTTTAACCTTGTGCCAAATGCCCCCTCACTCCTAGTTGGACGATATGTTTATGTCAAATAAGATCCTTTGTGTACATTGTGTTCAGAGAAGTTGTCCCTATGACTCAGAGAACCTGAGTATTAAAGGTGATTTCATTTCTAAGTTTATGTGACCCAGTGTTTATTAATATTGGTCATTCTTTCTTTTTAACAACATAATACCTTTGTGATATAGTTAACCAATACCATCCTGAGAGCAAGCAGATGATCAATTAGTTTTAGACTTGTATCTGTCCTTAAACCAGAGAATAAGGCCTGGTTCCCTATTGATTCACTACTTTTTTTATATATTAACCCTACCAGACCGCTGTACCGATTTTTCAGTAATTTCCACACAAAGGTGGAATATTGGCGCTAGATGAAAGGTAGATGAAAGGTAGACCTATTTTCTACAATGTCTCCAAGTTCCATCTTATTCTAACCACTTGTTTGCATGTAACTAACATTTTTCTAAATCATGTTGGTTTTTTTCTCTTTAATGCTCAGGAGCCCAGGTATAGGGGACAATTAGGTTCAGGGCCTCAGGTCTGGTAGGATTAAAGCACATATCAAAAATTCTTCAGCTCTGAGATTTCTGAAGACAAGTAACCTTGGAATTTCTAAATATGATCAAATGAAATGGTGGCTCTAGTGTATGGATTGACACTATGACAATCTTGTTTCATGTGCTTGCTCTTGTCTAACATCTCTCTAAATAACCAGTTCAGCTTAGTTCAGGGTTGTTGAAGAATTGTACAGTGCCAGGCCCTGAGGTACAAAGGTCAATACTACCAATACACGAGCTGGAGGAATTCTCTGATCGAGTCATACCTTTGAACTAAGGTGTGGCTTTCTTGCACATCCCAGGGCAGGTGAGACAAGAAATCTAGACATGAAAAGTCCTCAGGACTCGATACAGAATCCCAGTGAGCTGAGATGTGAGAGCCTGGCACCCCTTTAAGTCGCTGCACACAGCCTACAGGGCATGTCTTGTAAAAAATGCAAAGGAAATGTAATAGAAATTGCCAGATTGGAATTGCAGTGCCACCTCCTAAAGTCACACATACAGATTCTGTGAATGCCCTGATACTTTTCTGTATTTAGTAAGATTTAACAATTTATTACAACATAAAGAAAAGCAAGGGAGGCAATGCAAGAATGAGTAATAATAGCTTACATTTATATGCCACTTTATAGTATGGCACAGTACTTTCGCAAGCCCTCATATTTTAAATTATATTTTTCTAAACATCCTGTGTGTTCCTTTTTCCTTTTCTGCTCCCTGAGAGACGTTTTCCTTTCTCATCAATTTGGTTTATCCATTTCAGAGTCATTAGCAATCCACAGATGTGCTTTTGTAGAGAGAGAATGAAAAGGGAGCTCATTACATACTGTTTGGGTCATTTTCCCTCCATATTTAATAACTCCATGACAGTTTGACAGCCGAGACTAGCTCCTGTCTGTCCTCTGTGGCAGTGGGTTTATCATTACAGGGCCACTAAAGCCAGTCATCCAGCTACCAGTGATAATATCTTCATGCATCAGCAACGTGTTTATAAAGTGCTATCATATGGGTTACAGACAAACTGGGTAATTTTGGACCGGTCTTTGCTTCTTTTTTTTTTTCTGCTTGCTAAATTAATCTATTTATAAATGCTTATATTTGAATTAAATATACTTATAGTCTACTAGAGGCCCAGTGCATGAAATTCATGCACATGTAGGGTCCCTAGTGGCCACCTGCTGCCACTGTGGGAAGGGCCTCCCAATCCCCCGCCTCCTGCCACCTACAGCCACTGCTGCAGCTGGCCCTGCGCCTCCCCCCTCCTCCCCCAGTCAAACTCCTGATCAAACTCCAGGTTGATGGGACAATTTGCATATTAGGCTTTTATTATATAGGATATCCTGATTGGTGGAATGATAAGCCTCAGATATTGAGTTTATGGCTTGGATGTTTTGAATAATTTGTTTTGATGTAAAATATCCAATATTTGTTTTCAAAAGTAATCTGAAGAGTGAAAGAATATAGGCCCATATTTTATTGAAGGCTATTGCTAAGGAAATGACATAGGGACTGAACTAAGGACTGCTCATGAAATTGGAACTTTGGGGACTTTCTCTTCTATAATATTAGAGATTTTGGGGGTTCATGATACAGTTTAGATTTCTATAGTTTTAGAGCTTTATCAGCATGTTGGGATATTTCTATTTATGCTATTATCATTCTTACTAGAGGGCCAGGGTCACCTGGGAAAGGTTTGTTCATCCCTGTCACAGTTTGAGTGTCAATATCTGGCATAGCGTCTCTGAATTAATGTGAATGAATCAGTGATTAAACGCATGAATTATTTCAGACATTTTCACCTGGAGAATAGCTTTGTGTTGCTTTCACTTCTAATTCTTTCCCTCCTGCAATCCATTCTGCCCAGTGCATATAGATTAATATGCCTGAATCCTTGTAATTGTCTAGGATATTCTAGATGATGTGATCCTCCGTACTTCTCTGACATTGTCTCCTACCCTCTCCCTCACTCATCAAGGCTGTTTTGCTAATATTTACTGCCTTTGTATTAGCATTCCCTCTGCCTGGAATTCTATTCTTCTACTTACCTATGTGGCTTGCTCCTTCACCTACTTCAAACCCTTGATCAAACCCTAATCAACATATTTATAACTGCTTCTCAGCTGTATTTGTAATTGCTTATGTAGTATTAACTTTTAAATACACTGTATCATTTACTTGTTTATTTTATTTATTTACTGTCCCCCCACCCCCACCCCCACCCCCACAAGAATAAAGGCAGATATTTTTTTCTGCATCTTTTTCATTTATTGCTGTATCCATGCAGCTTAGAAAAATAGGGGTTCAAATATATTTGTTGACTGAATTAATGAAATCTAACTCTACTCCTCTCAAATCCTTCACTAGGTTTTTACTTTAAACATAGACTTGTTAGCCTTATCTTTGGCCTTCCATGATTTAATGCCATATCTTGAACTATTTACAACCTTTTATGTGATCTGAATTGCTCATAATGGTATGTCTGCGCGGGGGTTGTGTTCAGGGCTATCTCAAAAGCTCTTTCTCTGTTTCATTATAGCTATCTTCCACACTCAGCTCAAATATCACTTCTACAATAAAACAAGTCTTCCCTTATCAACTCAGCTAAAAGTACTTTCTTTTTCCTTCAAAATCCAGAATGCGGTAGTTAACAGGCTGAGGGCACTTTTATTGTGTGACTGTTTATTGTTATCTGTGTGAACTTTCTACCTGTCTAGTAGCCCTTTGTATATGTTAATGGATGCTAGAGCCTTATCTATCAAATGAATTAATTGTTGAAGGTGGAAAGCTGGTTAATGATTGATTAATTGCTGGTGGGGGGATGCAAAAGAAAATGTATACTAATATTCCTGAGAAATGATGAAATTAGTATCAAGTATCCCTTGTGTTTTTAATCATATTTTAACATACTTCTAATTTCAAACACTTTTGTCTAAGAAACTTACTCTTAATCGAGTTTTTCCTAGAGGTGAACAAATAAAAATAAAGAAATCATCAACTTTATTCAGTTATTTTCATCATAGTTCACCTCTGTTTTATTTCTTAAGAATGCTTCGTTTTTAGGCTTTAGGGCTGAATAATCATCAAAGATAAATGGAAAAAATATTAAACTTGTATGCATAAAATAGT